AGCGGTTCTCTGTGGCCATCGCTCCAAGGCCAGTGACACGATCACTGTGGCCAGTCAGATGTGCAATACCTGCGGCCGGCTCGGTTACTAAACTCACGAGCCGCGCCGTCAACAAGCTCAAATTGTGGTTGGTATATCGGTCTTTGGCCTTGGTGTTCAGAAGATGTCACAACAGTGCTGTGCTGCAAAACGTCCAAAACGAGACCGTTTTAAATTAAAGCTCACGATGAGTAACGTAAGTGGTCATAAACAATCGCGTGGCCTTCTCCGTTACGCTCTTAAATTAGCGGCATGATTTAGCCGTTGCATGAGCCCATTTGCTTTAGCTGTTGCATAAATACGTTCCACCATATGCCTGGGATGTTGTCTGGCAGCACCAACTGGAAAAACAGTTTTGAAATTTCCTGTAAAAACATATCTTAAATGGCCATTATATCTCAGCCGTCTGTCCCAGATGGACGCAGCCAAAGGTCCAGCGTCTCGCTTGCTATTGCGCAGGTGTCTTCTGCAAAATGTATCCCCACCATTCTCTCGTCCCCCTTCCACCACGTCCCTTCACCCTCTGAGCGCTGCAGACGGTTAAGATGAGCTGCATTTTGTCTCTGCCGGTCCGGCTGCAATCAGCCGACCTTGGGAGGCCTGTGTTCCCTCTCGGCAGCTACTGTCACCGCTGCACTCCAGCAGCACACGGCAGTGCAACCCTGCAGTCACCACTGCTGGCCCCACAGCCCTGCACTCGGCAGAGACGGCCAGCAGCAGCGGCGGTGATAGTTGTTTCGTCCGGACAGCGGTCGGAGCCGGTGGCAGTGCGCGTTTTTTCCACGGCAAAAAGCCGCTTGCCTTGGTGACGACTTACACCCCGTCTACTGGAGATTATCTGCCGACGTTTGAGCCGCGGTTCAGACTACACTAGAGGTGGCTCTTGAGCCAAGAGGCAAGCTAAAGGCATCCCCATCAGCCATGGAAATTTTGCGACGTAAAAGAAGCTCAGGAGTCAGGAGTGCATGTCGTCCATGTTATTAAAAAAACGTTCATTTCGTTGAACAAACAACAAAGAACTGGGTATTATTATAATGAACAGGGAGATAACTATTATTCCACCCCATGCCTCTTTTATAATATGTAAGACTTATGAATGCTTATGAAAAACACAACTATTTTGGGATACTCCATCTCAGAACAGCAGCCTAACGAGAAACTGCACTATAGTACAACCAGCGCCTGGCGACTTCAACGCCGCGCAGCTCACTATCCCGGAGACTGCAGTGCCGAACAAGTGACAGCCACCAATAACGCCGGTAACTAGAGCGGGCCAGGGCGGTACCGGCGCGGGCCCGGGCCGGCGTCCCACGTCCCAGCCGGTAACAAATGACTTCAGTAGCAGCACGCAGTGATTAGCGCGGCCGGCGGGTAAACGGTAATAGTTACCACAGCGCCGGGCCAATTACCAGGGGACCACCGCGGCGGGACCGCTCCCGATTCGGAGCAGAGATGGGAAAAAATCATCACCAACGGTCAGCTCTCGGCTCGCTATGTATCTTCCTGGGGATTAAGGGGCCCAGTGTGGAGTACCGCTATGAGCCGCCGAAACGGGGTGACTTATTAATCCTGGTCTCAGGTCCAATCGACCGGAGCAGCACGGTGCCTGTCCGTGTGATCCATTTCCTCAGACCACCGTCTCTGATCAGTGAACCGGATAGGCAGAGAGCGCTGCAGGGTCCGGTGGGTGCAAATACAGGCCGAGAGGCAGCGGCACGCTGCAGGGAGCGGGGTGGGTGTGTGTAACCGGAGAGCCCCAGAGCCGAGTGGGTGGGTATCGGTTTGATCGGAGTCTGTTGACTGAATACCAGCCACCGGCCGGCCCGTGGGTAACGGTGCCGGTGGAGCGCGCGCCGCTCCGGCCCGGCCCGGCCCGGCCCGCTCAGCGCGCCCAGCCGACCGGCTCGACAGACCGATGGACGGCATACTAATGCCCGGCCCGCAGAGACGGCTCGGACCGCGGTGCGAGCAGTGGCCCGTTTTCTGGGCGGCCGGCGCGCGCGCCAAGTGCAAGTAACACCTCGGCCGTGCGCGAGACACGATCACGACGACCGGTCGTGGCGCGCCGCCGCCGCCGCGCCGGTCGGTGAGAGGGTACGGCGGACTGCGCCGGAGCCGGGGCCGCCAAAGCAGCGGTCACGGCCAGCATCGCTGATTAATGGTGCACGTATTACGACCGGTCGTAACAGAGACCATGATGAAAGCGGCTACAAATTATTCAATCAGTGCCGATGTAATGGAAATATATTGTTCTGTCTTTATATCGAAACATGATGTGCAAGTTATCCCAGAGCTAAAATGTTAGAAATGAGAAGTGTCTGGGAGAAATAAAAATCCAGACCAAAACGGCTAATTTTGCAAGCATACTACTGAACCCGGTTGATAATTTCACTTGTCAAATTCCTCCTCGTGTCCAAATGCATAAACTCTGAGAGCAGATATATCCAGAACGAATTTAATCCATGACAGACCGCAGGCCCATCCTCAAAACCTGACGAGGCATCACGTGCAGCTTCATCGGGATTAGCGTCACCAGAAACGGATAACGCCTGTCTTCCGAAAACAGAGGCCGTCTCCACTGACACCGTTTGGTGGACGTTACCCAAATCCGTCGCCGGCCGGGTTAGGATGCACATAAAACCCACCGGCTGACTGGCCCTTTGACCCGGCTCTGCCGAAAATGGCCGCCCCGGACGGCTGTTTGGTATCGTAGAGCCGCCGCAGTGCCGCTCAATGTTGTACGGTGCTGCTCAGAGAGGAAGTGTAATGACAGGGAACGGCTCCGTTCACCGGCTCTCTGAGTACCGCGCCGTCAGAGCCCGTCTCCGGAGAGCCACCGTCCCGCGGCACTCCCACGCTATTCGAGCATGCGTGGCACGCCGAGACAGCCTGGATCCATCTGCCGCTGAGAGATGTCGGCGCCGTATGAGAGACCACTCCTGACCGACGGACCACTCGTAAAACTCTAGTGGGCCAAAAACCGCCGCGAGTGAGCCGATCTGTGTCTGGCGTGGCCCCGAGAGGCCGTAGTGGTCCACTTTCGGGAGCGAGTGGCTCGCCGAGACGGCCGATTCTGAACTGATGCTCGGCTGTCACTGAGCCGATTCAGGTCTGTGGATGCGCCTCAGTTTACGGTCGCCGCCGCGTCCGATACCGGACCACTGCTCCGCGAGGGCAGAGCCATCAATAGCTGAGGAATGTGCGACCATTGATTCTGAGTGGACCGGCGCCGCCCGCGGGCCCGGAGACCGTGTGATGGTGCCGGCCGGGTCTCGAGATTCGCTGCGGATGAAGGCTCGCCCTGCGGTGGAGCCGCCAGCACCTTGAGCGCCGAGTTCCGTGATCACCGTGACCGGCCGGATCACCGTGAGCTGGGCGCGCACCGGGGACACCGGCCGGCCGGCGGCCTGGAGCACACGCGGCGGCGGCGGCGGGTTTCTAGGTGAGGCGCGGCCGCCGGTGGCACGTGTGAAACGTCCTGCGGCGAGCGGCGACCGCCACCGTCCGTCCGGCTAACTGTGATGTAATGGCGCGGCGGGCAGTGGGTCAGCCGGACGGCCGGACAGCCGGACAGGATCGGCCGCCGGCCGTCACAGCTCCCACGCCAAGCACGCCACCCAAATAGACTACGGCGCTGCTTTGTAGTGCGGAGAAAGCGCGCGGCATCCAAAGGCCGCCGGTAGCGGGCCGACTAATCAAATATAATTTGCGCCCATCGACGGTCTGAGCTGAGCTTTCTATGCTGCGGAGCTTGTTGAAGATTCTAGACTAGCACGCCGGTGACTATAGAAGTGATGTCAAGACGAAACATTACACTATTGTTATGCTGCTGGAAATGTGGCCACTTACGTTACGTTACTCGCCATGAATCGCACCAATTTGTTGTGACAAAGTTGAAAAGCCATCGCTTGGTTACCAGGATTTGACTCTTCATGCTGATTTGTTGAAATAGCATGCTTAACATTGAAAAAATAGACAAAAAATTTAAGCTAACATCGGAAAACCTACCTATTGCAAGTCCATTTGCAGGCTTATTTTCAAACAAATTTGTGGGGTTATTGTCGTTGAGAGTTACACAAAATTTTCCGACATGGTATTATGCCTTGAAGGATAAACGCACAATAGGAGAGAAAAGCAGTTATGTAACAACTACTCTCAGACTTTAAATGACCGTCATGCACCGCCATGAACATGGAACACTTTCTTTGAAATAAGAGAACAGATAGCATCGTTACATCAATTAACCCTGAGGTGTTATTAGCATAATTCAGCGGTGGAGCAGCCCAGCTGGGGTATGCGTGTACCGCCGTATTCCAAAAGCGCCGCTGATAGCTTCCTCCAGCACCTGGTCACGCGATGTCCCAGTGGAGCCCGAGGAAGACGAAAAACTCAGATGTTTGTATTCCCACGCACAGATTCTACAGCTCATTGTTTAGCCGTGGTAGTAATAATACATGGGTAGCGGATGGTATTCACTGCATGAGAGGTATGTGGGAGAAGAATGCGGGCCTGGACTGTCTGTCAGTAATGGCTTCGGTGACCTACAAAGTGAAGTGTTAACTACCACCCTCGCTAATCATCTCCACCTAATGCGCCAACGCTAAAGGGAAACTCAGGTGACCACGCCTAGCGAGATACTTGCTGATAACCGTTGGAGAAACTTCTCAAGAACGAACAATATGTTCAGTTTACTAGGAAGCGTCGGGTTCCGGCCAAATTGTCTCTTCTGAAGAAATTAAGCTGATCGACACAAACACCATTCTGGACAAATTATTTCCTCACCCCATTTAAAAAGTTACCATCTTGAATATCACAGTTCAGTTATTCCTGACCAGTCGCTCCTCCTCCCCCCCAATCGGATCCTGCATGGATTCCCTCAGTCCCTTCATCGGCACCCCCATCAGTCCTCCTGGCACCCCACGGTCCCCTCAGTCTCCCCAGTGTTCCCCGGTTGTACTGACCTGTTTGTAGCGCCAAGACGAGGAGCAGTGCGCCGATCACGGCTCTCGCCGTCGGCTGCCGCGCCATGGCTGGCCTTCTGCCCTGCACACTGCGCTGGAGCGGCTGCTGAAACCAGACGTCTATCTGAGTGGTGAGCCGGCCGGCGGCGGGGACACAGACGCGCCGACGCTCCTTCCTGGTGCGGACGGGACGCGCCTCACCCGGTGCGAGCAGGTGCACTGTCGGAGCGGCACTGGCGGCCGGCGCGCTCCGCCGAGAAGACGGCTGCCACTCACCGGGCGGCCGGCGCGCCTGCGCCGCCGCCCTGACCCACTCACCGGCCGGCCGGACCGGGCCGGACCGGCGCGCCGGAGACCGGAGCCGCCAGCTCAGTCAGCCAGCCCAGCCAACCACCCCGCAGGGACGCCGCAGCGGCATCGGCAGTCATTGTATTCATCGCCGGCAACCAGAGATGGCAATCGACTTCTTTTCCTTAGCGTGACATGGAGATGAGTCGAGAAAGAGCGGTGATGCGGTGATGTTTCCGAAGATGCGGTACATTTCGGAGTGATCGGGATATTTGATCGATTTTAGACATGAGAAACACGATACAGAAGTTGCTCATGGAACTTAAGATTTGTGCTTAGTTCATGCATGTAGGTATCTCATTTGTTCTCTCTTTCTCTCTTCCCTCTCTGTTCCTCTGTCACTCCGTTCTCTCTCCCTTCATCTCCCTCCTCTCTTCTCTCTCTCTCTCTCTCTCTCTCTCTCTCTCTCTCTCCCTCTCTCTCTCTCTCTTCTGTTCATTTTCTTAGTCGTCGATTATGACATTTCCTAGACCACCCTGACGCCATGGTGAGGGAGGTCAATGTGAAAAGGTGAAGATACCCAGTGCCGGCACCTGCTGTCATTGCTTTCAGGATGAGAACGCGATCGATGAGGAAATAGGAAATGGTAGCCTGCCTGCCTAGTTCCTGGTCAAATACGCCCTTCACTTGCATAATTATGCGGATATGCCATTGTTCAAACCTTGAAATACTCTCACACACATTTGTTCTTGCCGACCACACCCGGCCACTGGTCAGTCGTCAGTTCCTTTTCCGGCGTGCAGAGGACTGGTTGTACGGTCATTGCCTTTTCGATCCTCGTTGAGGAAATTGCTTTAAGGGAGACATCTTTTATTGGCCAATAAAGCTGAATGATTTCTACATTGACTTGTCAAGGAAAGTTGGTAGGCTGTTCACTTGATCCAACATGGCCGAAGGCGCTCTTGATAGGGAAGTCTGAGATGCGTAGTTTGCAGGAGTTAGGGCTTCTTTGTTCTGGGCCTATGGTTGATATCCCTTGAGAAGCACCCTGAGATGCATGGCATCTAAAAAGCACCTTTTTGTTCATGCAATACTTCAGGTATGACATCAATGACAGAATAAAAAGGACCACGTACTGCAATGTGCTGCAAACATTCCGGTGTTCTGGAAGGATAATTTATTTTATAAAATCTTCTTGGAATGACCTGGCAAATGCAACACTTACTCTAAGTTCCAGGTTACGTGAAAATTTGATAGCTAAATATATACGCCACGATGAAAAAAAAAGTTTTTAGTTTGCATGTATTTGGAGCACCCTCGGTCTATCATCCATGACATGTTCACTTCAATAAGCACACGCAAACAGCGCCTTGTCCGTTGCCATCGCTATGCTATGCAAACTCTGACCGTGTGCGACCAGGTCCACACCAGTGTTGTTCGCCAGCCATAATCATATTCCTTCACCACGACAAGCTCCGTGACTAAAAGCACAGTATCACTATCTTGCCGCTATCATGGACTCACTTCTCGGACGCACAGCCTCTAAATACGGTTCCGCTCGCCCCACTTAGTATTTCTGTAGATGTCAATGTCATCCCCAGCACTACATACAACCACCCTGCATCAGTTCCCATGAGTACGCGGTCGAGATCACGTCTTGAAATCCACGACACGGCGTGAGACTCGGGCGCGTGATTCTGCACATCCGGCTGGTGACTTGTCTGACGTTGTTCTGCTCTCACTCGCGCGGCGAGGCGATGTCACTGCTGGCAGCAGACACCCACTCCCCTGTCGAAGGAGCATGGCTGGCGGTTCGCCACTGTCCACAATGACTGAGGGGTGTTCCTCGGTCCCAACATCCCTAGCGAGAATCAAAGTCTTATTGGGCTCGACGCAGTCACGATGCTACAGTCACACTGAAGTGGTGATACCGTTCACTGGACACACAATCGGTGAGATAACTGATCAAACAACTTGTATCTACACACAGATCACATCGTTTATCACATAATCACCGCACACAGCTCACGAATTCGGCGCATAACGCTTCGTTCCCCCTCCTCACAACACAAATGCACCATAGTAAGGAACACGATATCATCGCACCATGCACAAGTAGTGTGTTCTAGCGGATAGGGTCAGTCACTCTGGTAAATACCGCGGTCTGATTCTAATAGTGCTGGCTGGCGTTGGTTTCTTACAGCGCTGCTTCAGACAGCTGACTGGATGAGTGTTGTGACGTTGGTCAAGCCCGGCCATGATGCACAACGGCGTCCGTATTTGTGACGAGTCACGACCAGCTGTGGCTGTAGAGACTACATCTCAGAGTTCGAGAGCAATCTATTTGATGTTGAGCTCCCTCTTTCGTTCAGCGATCATCAGCTGGAAATCGACCCTGCGGAATGAGAACATCGTGAGATGACTTCATAAATAAAGGCGTGCTCAGTGAGACTGGGTGAAAGGTTTAAAGGTCTTGGCACGAAACGTATTGTCAAATCAGACAAAAGTGTGGCTGCATCCCGGCTTGCTATGTGCAAAAAAAAAAGAAGAAAAGAGCTTGCAGTAGCATGGTTGACATGATAATGTCTGGCTTGAAGCACCTAACTTTGTACTTACATAAGTACCTAATAATCCGTGCGTAACTATTATATTTTGCGTAAATATTTTATATAAGCCGGTGTTACACTACAAATAACAAAAGTTACCAAAGAGACACCTTTGCTATGTGCCGGCCAGCAGTTATGCATTCATGCCAAAAGACTCCGCGCCAGCATAAGCAGCGCACTTACTGTTTGACTTCCTCCGGTATCATGACGTGGTTCATCGGGATCAGATCGCTGAGCTCCCTCAGTCCGTCCACGTAACGCAGCTTACGGCTGAACTTGGAGCTGAAACAAAACGGCACGCACTTCAAAACAACGTCCAGCAAGTTTACTTTCAGGTTACCAAAGTAAACTTGATACAAGATGTCAGAGGTCCAGTACTTCTGCTGCAGCTGGGTAATTGAGCACGCCAGTGACGTCTTGATCATGCAAAAGCGAGACAGCTAAATCATTAAGCTGTTTGACAATTTCATCAACGCTAAAAGAACTATTAGGTTTATCCGAGGACGATGGGAGCTGCTAGTGGCCTTGGGGGCATCAACGTTTCGGTAAGTGGTCACTGGACAGGCGCAACCCATAGTTTTTCACCTGCAAATTTTAAGGTATAAATTCAACAGACGTTTGATACTTATCGAAGTCCTGACAATTCTGATTGTTTCCGTTTTCACCACTTAGTGATCAGACACGGTGACACTGTACACTCAGCACGTTCTCTATTTGACGTGAAAACTGAAAGGGCTTTCTAACGACCCGGGCCGATGTGCCGAGAAAGCCAAACACTTCACTCATTTATCTGCGTATTCTGCATACAAAACTGTGTCTGCCCAAAGGTGCGAGCTTGTTGAGTACCGACCTCTGGAAACAAATCTCACTTTTATGGTAATGGGCTCAAGGACTGTGAATATTTATGACCGGGTCCGGACATAAATATGCGCGCAGTCATGTCACTGCCATAACTCTATGGATGCACTGGCAACAGGCACTGACACTCAAAAAGCACCTGAAGAGTAAATAGGTATGCGAGAATTACTTTTTACGGCAAAACCCCGAGCGAATAAGATGCTCAAGCTGGTTTTAGGCGTTCGGCCTATAGATGGCTCTAAATATTGGCGCAAGTGGATGTGGTGAAAGCAGATGAAGGGAAGGGGCATTTTCAGCCGTGGAGCATTGTGAATAAAACATGTTACGTAAGTTGTGAAAATATCAGCAGCTAATGAAAATCCGTAACTAAATGCATTAGCGAAATATCCTGTTGGAATATACCCACATAATAGCCATAATCAAGCATAAACATGAGCTTTATATGAGCTTTATAATGAGTAGTATGGCGCACTTCGATTATGTAAAAGCAGCAGTAATTGATCCATTCATCCCTGCGTCCAGTCCCGGGAGACGGTCACTGTCACTGTCCCACCTGATGAACGGTCTCGTCAGCGCCACGATGGTGCGCAGCCAGAAGGACGGGTGCACCAGGTACAGGCCCTTGAGCGTCTTCCTGAGCCTGCGGTCCACCAGCTGGTAGGCCCTCCGCAGCCAGGAGAAGGTGGGCGAGCTGGCGGCACTGGCGCCTCCGTGCAGGTACACCAGCACGTACTCCTCTGACACCAGCTCGTCCAGGGTGGTCAGCACGTACCTGCAGGGGGACGGCAGGCGCGCTGGGTCAGCATGGGTGGTTCATGAGTGATTTAGGGAGTCATGTTTGCCTTATGAGCGAATTCTCGAGCTGAATGAAGTACGGTATATCAATGCGCCGATAGATTGTCTAGTCTAGTGTTTATGGCTGCGGGCTCAACGATCACTGCTATATGAAACAAGGCATTATTGTGCTAATGCCAAGCGAAAACGGGTGTGAGCAGCCTCGGTCGGATAGCCTGCGCAGGTGGCGCCGCCGCGTCACCCCAACTCGGACGCTACCTGGCGTCACCTGCGCCACCTGTCTGGTGCACCGTACACGAGTCTCTGTTACTGTCCACACCAGCCTCGGTGGCGCTTCGGTCGGCTAGATATCGGCATATCTGGTCTAACTTAATGAGAACAAGGTGCATTGACTACGTTAAAAATTTACTAAAATGGAAAACATCGCTCACTTGCTGCACCACGTAACGAACTGTCGAAAATGTAATTTTGATTCCAGGCATTGCAGTCGAACCAAAAATAGCGTCATAGTTCATAAAGACTCGCTAGTTCCTGTGCTGGAAGCCTCACGGTTAGTACTCAGCACTCACAGGAAGAGGTTGTCCATGACGTATCCGTAGTCCGGCCTGCTCCTCTCCGGCAGATGACAGGCGGCGAACACGATTATGCTCTGACCGGCGTCACCCTCCATGTATCCTCCGTGAGACAGCACCTGGTCAAAGTGAGAGGAGGAGAAAGTGAGAGAAGACAACACGGCGGAGGGAGAAGACGCTGTGAAGTACAAGCATACGGTCTTTAATACAGATATAATAGTTTTTGGCTCCACGTGTGTATAAGACAGCGACGTCCACAGAACAATACGACGTTTTTGGCGGAACCAGGAGACAATGTTTGTATGCAGAACAATGTCATCCCGTTCCAGCCCCCAGGATTTCGCACGCTGAGTCAAAGCCCCTGCTCGCAAATGGACCACCACGCGATGTTTACCTTAGTGTAGGGCTCGATGATGCTCATGTCGATCTTCTGCTCTTTCCCAGCCACCACGCACGTCCTCCAGTCTCCCTGCCCGATCGTCTCGTCGTACTCCAGCTCGGCGCCGTCCTCAAACTGATCTGCAAACATGGTATTCGGACTGTTATATCACAAGAGAAATTCCAAAATTCGTCTTAGGATATGCTTCTAAATCTACAATGCATGTTGTTTTCTGCACAGCATAAACCCAACTTAATCACGTCACATGACTGAATGCTGCAATGCCAATGCTTACCATCCTGCTCCTCGTCGGCAGCCAAGGTCTCCGGTGTGACGCGTCCCTTCTCCAGCTGCGCCTCACCATTGCCCAAGTCTACATCCCGCGGGACAGACCCATTTCGGGACGCTGGGAACGTAACAGCCATAGTCACAACGGGTGAACGGTGAATATCAGAATCACTATGTCCAAGCTACAAGCAAATTAAAGGAAGTCTTATAATAGTGACGGGGGTGCGTTATAGGGCATCAAGCTGTAAATCTCGTAAACGGTACAACGACACGTTTTTTATCTGAAAGGTAAAATCGGTAGCCATGACCATGACAATTTTATGTAAAGTAATTTCAGATGACAGTGCTCACCTGTACGTGGCTCCGGAGTCGGAGTGCTCGTGGGGCGGATCGCCATGTCCTCTGGTGGAGTGCCGAACGCCGAGGACTCGGGACGCTCGGCCGCGCCCGCGTCCAGCAGGCTCGAGACATCCGTCATCAGGACGCGGCCTTTCTCTGCCTCCAACGTTGTCATCCGTGTGGTCACGGCAACAACGTCTTCGTCAGCCTCCAGACGCTTCTCTGACGGATTGTCCACCGATGGTGAGGCGTCTGGGTTGTGCTTTTCTTCTCGACTTTCTGTGTTGGACTGTTTGACGTCAACCGGCTGGTGTACCGTTTCTTGTCGATGTGAGCCCGTATCCTGGTCCGCAGGACGTAGCCTGAACCCCTCATAGTACTCATTATCGCTGTTCCATCCTTCCGAGGGGTTGTCGCCTGGGATGATTTGCCCGCTCCATGAAGGTGCAATCGATTGATCCAATGAGAAGGTATGCTCTTCGGGCACAGCATGGTTCTCCATGTCACGTTTGACGACATGACTCGTGTCGCCATATACCATGGTACTGTCAAAGTTTTCTGTGCTTTGTTTTTCGCTTTGCTCGTGTAAGTCTGACGATACGGTTTGTTTGGACACATCGTTAGCCCTGAGCAACGCTTCCATGTTGTCATCTGGCTGATCAGTGGGTACGTCGGCAGGCTTATCAGTGCTAGTTTCATAGGGTGCCAGCTCTGTCTCTGTGAGGGGAATGTCATCAACTGGCCCTTCGTTTTGGCTGTCAGCAGCACGTTCACCTGTATTCAGTTCTGGTGTCGACTCCTTTGCCTCGGGCTCTTGACTTTCGACATGTGCTTTGATTTGGGATGGTATTACGCCATCGAAGTCGTAAGAAAACATCTTGCTGGACATTTCTACCTCTGCAGGGCCCTCGTCATCATTAGATATGGACACTTTTTCATCAACACTATCAGCGTTTGTGGGACGTTCCTCGTGCAAAGGCGATTCAAAGTGAGATTCGTGAGATGTTTCCTTTGACGATTCGCCCAATGATTCTACCATCTCACTCTTACTTGTGTCACGAGTCGGTTCCGAAGAGAGCGTCCCTTCAACAGATGCCGAAACAGCGGTTTCCTGCACTACAGGGAGAGACACAAGACTGCTTGTTGGTGAATCTCCTACGTTTGACGGCTTTGCGACTGATTTAGCTTCTTGAATGGTTTCTTCTAGCTCTTCAGCTTGTACTAAGTCGTAGTCGTTCTCTGAGGTGTTTGCAATAGGGTTAAAGGGAGCATTTTGTAATAGACTAGGGGTTGTATGCTCACTTCTGAGTTCCTCATCTGCTGTCTCGAGTGAAAGCACCTCAGAGTGCTGACCAGCAGCGTCCTCTGTTACCACAGGGGCTGTCTCCACTTGATTGAAAGTGTTTGCAGAAATCGTCTGTGCAGCAAACCCGTTGTTCGATTTCACCTCATCTTCGTCACCATCTGGATCCTCTAGGATGTCCTGGTCAACCGAAAGTTTATCTTGCTGGTCGTCTTGAACACTTCCATCGATGGCTGGTGGCAACTGACCCAAGTCTAGCTGTTCTGGCTTCATCATTAATGTTCTCAAATCATCGAGCTCCGTTTGAAGAGATTCGTTGTGCATCGGTTCTTTCCGTCTTTCCTGGGCAATATCATCACTGTCATCAAAAGCTGGATTCGCGGATACCAATTCATGGCCAATAGTTTCGAAGTCAATGTCACTTCCTGACTCCTTTTCTGTGTGTGGTGTATTGACTACCTCCTGGCTTCTCATGATAGGACTTAGATCGGTAGATGCAGTGGCTGGTTCCCCGGTGCCATCCAAAACAATGCCCACATTTGAAGCTTCAACGAGAGCTTCCACTTCATCTTTTAAAGAGCTATGCATGCCGTCAAGATCCCTTTGGAAATTGAACTCTTTTACATCGATGTGGCCAGGAGATTGCTGTGATTGCTCTATGTCCTTCTTTTCGTCCAGCGTTTGCTGTTCTAAGATGCTTAAAGGACTTCGTACAGGGTCGTGGTCAGCTTCGTGCTTTGAATAACCTTCATCCATCAGCTCTGTCCTAAGAACTTCATCGCCACGTTCCTCCATGTTCTGCCCCATTGCCGAAGAATGACAATCACTATCTTGCTGGAAGGCATTCAGATCTTTGATACGTTGAGCTGATTCATTCAAATGCTCAAATCCTTCATCATGTAACAGAGCAGCATCACTGATCTCAAAGTTGCCGTCCATTTCTAATCCGTTGGTAGCATTTTGGGGCACATCTCGGTTCAAGGCCTCTGACTCTGAAAGATTGCCTCGCTCTTGTCCTGACAAATGATCAAGACCTTGAGATCTGCCTGCATCTGCCTCTGTATGGCTGTTGATATCCAGAGTCACTTCTGGCGCTCTGTAGTTCTCCAAATCATGCTCTTGTATGTCAATCTCATCTGATGACGCAGCAGATTTGTCTTTGCTTTTCTCCAAGGACGACTTTTCGTAGTTTTGTGTAGATGCATTGTCGAAATTGGTCAGATAGAGATGATCGGCATCACCGAGAATCGCGGAATGCACAATAGTCGCAGTTGCTTGTTCTATTGCACTCTCTTTTGAGAGGTTGTCCATGGTGGGATCATACACATTCGTTCTTGTCTCTGCCATGACAGCCCTGACATCTTGTTCGATAGTCGCCGTGTCTTCAAGGGAAGTACGTCGGTTGTTCATGCTGTCAAGGCATTCCATTTCATTTTCAGAGCACACGGTATCATCCAGCTGGTGTGATTGATCGTGCTGTGACGTATCGACACCTGTCGCGGCTTCCGTCTCTTCTTTGACTGCAACGGATACGTAAGGATGTTGATTTTCCTCTAGGTTGAGGGAAATATCATCATGAGGCATATGGTTCTTCTGCTCATATCCACTGTCATGTTTTGCGATAAGTTTCATTGTGTCACTATCACGAGCCAGCGAATCTCGCTCAATCGCATGCTGTTCTTCCTCTTTATACATTTCTGTTGAGCAAGTTTCGCTACTTCTTTGCCCGACGGCTTCATCAGGCGTCTTACTCTTGCTGATGACCTCAGTGTCATCAAAATTCACTTCTGCTTCAGACGCCTCTAAAAGAGGAGGCTCATTCAACACCTCTTCAGAATTGACCTGGTGTTCTGAGCCTACTTGTTCAACTTCCATGACATTATCAATTGTTTGATGTGAATCATGATCTGTTGATGTCTCGTTATCTGCCTCGCCATTGTTTCGTCGGGAGGAGATGTTGTCGACTGCGAGTGACTTTGATGCTACGTCGCGGCTTGAGCCCTCGCTTGTGGGTTCATCATCCTGCTGTGCGCTGCCATGCATCTCCTCAGCATTTGAGCTCAATGATAGAGGATCAAGAACAACATCCGGCATAGAGCTATCGAAATCGTGAATATCTTTGTCGTCTCTTGTGCTATCTGAAAACTGAAAATCAGTTGGCTGGATGATATCTACCGTTTCGGGACGGGGTCGTTGTTCTGTGAAATCCAGAACATCTGGTAACGTTTCGAAACGTCCTGGTTCACCGACCTTGCCAACTGCAAGCTCATCATCATAGCTATGGGCGACGAGCAGGGGAGCAGCAGCATCTAATCCTGCACTTGCGTGTTGACCTTCTTGGCCGACTTGATTTTCCTGCGCGTCGCTTGCCAAGTTTTCATCGGCGCTTTGACTTTGGCTTTCTATCAATAAGTCAACCGGCTCTTGCTCCTGCCTGTCATCTGTCAAACTATTTGCAGTGGCTTCGAAGTCATTCACAGGAGAGACAGTACTCGGCATCCCAACACATGCAGCTGCCTCTACCAGCTCGCCACCTCGATGATCTGAAAGTGGATTGGACAGCATATCGTTCTGCTCCGTGAGAGGTTCACCGCCCGCGAGTAGTCCAGGTGCGCTGCTGCTTTCGTCGCCTCCTACCGCAGTTTCCAGCTGTCCAATGGCTACTTGCGATTCATCGCGCTGTCCAGGTTCTGAGTGAGACGCATTGGAGGGCTGCACCTCGTTCGCCTGATTTCCGTTGTCGATCGAGACCTTTGGAGCTAACAGGGTTTCATCTCCAAGCATTTCATCGCTGCCCATCATCCCGGCACCACCAGTTAGAGGGTGAGAAGTTGCGGCGTCATCTTCCGAGCTGGTGCTTGCGCCTAAAGCTACCTCGCTCTTTGGTGTGGTGCTGCTCGCCACAAAAGGGCCTGACTCAGCATCAGGTTCATCGACATTCGAAGTACTTTCATCATGAGGCATGGTGCTCGCTTCACTGAGAGAGGTTATGTTGACAGCATCGTGTTCATCCATCAGCGAGTTATCAAGCAGTTCCTGCTGCTCTACCGAATCCGTGTCACCACCTTGTGTCTCATCCATAGCTTCACTGCTTATCGCATGATCAATTTCTTCCGCGATATCACCATCGTGTTTGAGAGAACCTTCTGTCAGGCGGCTGCTTTCAAGAGTGGTGTCTTTCTCACCATCAAAATGTATCTCATCCTGAAAGACATCTTCAGTTGAATAGACTTTTGGATCACTCACTCTCATATTTACTGAAGCGTCGTCCTCAACTTTCATGGTAGTATCATCTGGGCAGATGGTCTGCTTTTCAGCTTCCGGTTGGATCATATGGCCTTCACTTTCCTCTGAGACGATTCGGTCTTCTACTTCTTCAGCACATGCAGAGTCATGCAAACTTGTATTGCCTTTAATATCCTGTTCATCATTGTCATTGTGTGTCACACTGACTTCCTCAGCAGCGACCCTGTCTGGGATCGAACTTTTCGAAAAATGCTCGGTCGTATCATTCTCATTTGGCGCATCTTCTTCATGACTAAGCTCAATACGTTCAAAACCAGCAGACAGCGTTTCAGAAAGCGCGTCTTTGGCGCCTTTATCTACGCGATGCGGTAAGTTTTCTTCAGTGCAGCCAAGCATAGCTGGCCCAGTATTCTCTTCAGGCTGAAACTCACTTCTATTAGTTGAGGGTTCCTTCTTTGTTAGATCTTGATCACTGAGAGTGAGTTCATTTTCTGGTTTAGATGGTTCGTGAAAAGCAAATGGTGACTCATCAATATTTTCTTCTGTTGACTTGCGATGACTTCCCTCGCTATCATCTTTCGTCAGCTTTTCTTGATAGTCTTCAACTCCTGTGCTTTCTTCAGAACTTCTGGTTTTGTCGGAGATAATCTCATCATCGCCATCAACGACTATGTTCTCGTGTACAGCAGTCACATCGCTTATCGTCGTGGGTTCTGCAAGTACGGCGTTTTGGGGCACTGCTGTTTGTGACATGGGCGAATCAGCGTCTGCTTGCGTATTTCGCTGATGCTTTTGCCCACCAATGTCTCCATTCGCAAGAATGTCTTCAACATGCGATTGGTCTGCCTCTCCACTGTCACTGTCAGAATCTAAATTAATGTGTGGTGGCTCTGCTGCCTCGACCTGCTCTGCATCTTCTTCCGATAGTGTATGCTCTGGTTCCGACTTTCTTTCGAGACCACTCTGATCCACAAGCAACTCATTGTCATTGTCATCATTGTCATCACCAGCTTTTTCGATCTCGATTCTTGGAACAGTCGCAGTGACCCCATCCATGTGTTTGTGTTCGAATGCTTCGCTACTACGCTCTTCTGCGAGTTCTTCGGAGTCTTTGCGATGCGAGTCTCTGCTATCTATATTCAACTGTTTCTCACTAGCAGTGTCATTTTTGCTTATACTGTCATCAGTCTGCCTGGGTTCCTCAATGCGCTCTTCCTTCTCCCGAGAAGAGTTGTCCACATCACCTACTTCACCAGCATAACGGTCGAGGGTTTCCACAAGTCCTGTTTGCTCATGATCAGCGCGTTGGTCTTTGGGAGAAGTAAGAGCTTGTGACTGTGCATGACCTTCATCAAGTAGCTTTTGATCAAAATGGTCAACAATAGCGTCCGTAATGACTGCTGATATGTTGCTTTCAGACAGGTCTGTTCCCGAAGGCTCTTGGCTTTTTAGTTCTTCAAGCATGTCATCGGGCTCCTGGTGAAGTGGCGCATCATTCACCAGTTCCGGTGTTTGTTTGTCCTCCTTTTGTTTGAAATTCTCGTTATCAGGCTTCTCTTTAGCTGCGAGAGGTGATTCATGTCCACTCTCAGTCACAGCATCAGCGTCGCTTGGCTTTTCATCAATATCTAAGTCAGCTACCGCGGTCTTTGACGTGTCATTGTCGGAACTGAAGTGCAGTGGTTCAGCAAAAAGCTCGGTCTGTTCCGCTGACCGTTGCATGTCCATTTCAGTCGCGATGCCTGATGAGATGTCTACGTCAGATTGCGCCATGGGATGACCAACCGCGTTCTTTCCATCACTCATAATGGTTGAACTCTGAATACCTTCCTTTCGGTCACTGGCACCTTCCAGCTTCACATCGACCTCAGATTGGATGATGCTGGAATGCATATCACTGGCTGAAAGGGCGGTCGTTTCCTTGGCTTCATCCAAGTATAGCTTTTCTCCTTTGTCAATGCTACCTGCTGATCTCAGAGCATCCGCGTTTGGATCAGGCTTTTGGTCTTGGAGTTCGTCTATCGGCTCATTCACTGTGAACCGCTCTAGGCCATCAGCTGACGGCAGATCTTGATCATGGGAATTTTCTGTCTCTGCATGTTTAGGCCCTTGGGTGATGGTGTCAATGTTGTCACGGCTTACTGACTCCCCTTCTTGCAACGACATTGCTTCACTTTGCCACAATCCTCTGACCAAATCACGATCATCAGCAAAGTCAGTCGTCCCTTCATAGTTTTCAGAAGAAGTATTCCGGTGAATTTCCCCTTCTACCACATCTGTACTTCCGTTGATGACGCCTCTTTCATTTTCATTTTGATTATGATGTTCCAATCTAGAATCGGCATCTTCCAAATGCACGACAGCTTCGGCATCTGTTTGTGCCGCTTCCTCGCTTCCTTTGTCTTCTGGAAGTTCAGTATCTTGGTTGGGGACACTTTCAGGATCTTGCGTATCAGCATAAGCCATAATGTCACTGACACTCGACTCATCTCGCTCTATATCAGTGGCATTTTGGTCTTCACCGGTATCCTCAAATGCCATTGGCACTCTTGACTTCAATGGATGTGATTGGGGATGCTCGTCTGTGTCAACTTGCATGCTGCTTGCCTTTCCGACATTTGTCAGGTCAACATCTTTCTGTTGGGTTTGTTTTAGTTCTTCTTCGTCCCACGCATTGCTCAGTTGTAAAACATGTCCCGGATCTTGTAGAACGTGCTCCTTTGCACCTTCTGCATGCAATGATTCCATATCTATCGTTGTAGATGTTGCCCCTCCATTCATACCTGTCAAGCTATCTTCTTGTAGTCTCGCTGGGGAGCTGCTGTACTTTTCATCATCGTCAACGTCTTGCATAAAGTTCAGTTCATTCACCTGTATTGCGTCCTCATGACGTTTTTCTGCAGCAAAGCCGAACTCTTTTTCATTATATGCTTCTGTCAGTGACGATTCTGCTCTGGTTTGACCTTCTTTGTCCTCAGTATCAATCGCATTCTCGAGAGAAAACGAGTA